CGAGTATAGGCATTGAATAAAAAATTAATTTTTATTCAATGGTATAGGTTAGAAGAACAAATATAGATTTTTCGTACTTCCGGGACTAAAGTAACAACTTCACTCCATTATGACAAGTACTGAAGTGTCACTTTTTGTCCCGCCGGGATTAAATTTAGACGAAAATCCCGGAAGGATGAAATTACTAACAAGGCAATTTCAGTAGGTTGTTCCACATTTTGTATGCGGCACTACTTCTTAAACGCATCGTACTGCTGCTCATATAGTTTTTTGGATTTCGGTGGTATCAATTCTTTACCTACTTTGGCCGCTTTTTATCAATATCAAATACACCTTTGTCACTCACCACCAAAATTATGACACTAGCAATGACAGTTTCCAAATTATTTTTGTTACCATGGCATAGGGATTGTCATACCAACGCAACGTTCCTATGGTAACTTGTTAAGCAGCGATTTTTTGAAAGAACGCGTTCTCTAACTCCATACATATTAAGTGTTTCGGTTTCGGAAGTACGAAAAATATCGTATATACCTTGCGACTGAAGTAGTGGTCTTAATCCCTCAGGTAAATTATGGCCCTCCCTTCGGTCGGGCCATAAACTTTACCTTCGGGATTAAAAGTACTACTTCAGTCCCGCGGTATATAATATACTATTTTTTAATTGAATGAAAGAAAATACGTTCACTGGCTCCCGTTACTTTTTTTAACATAAGCATTACAACTTTATTATTAATCTAGAAATATGGTGTATGTAAATGACGAGTGATGGAGGTGGGTGACAATTTGAAGTATATTTAACATCTAATACATAACAGAGGTACTTTACGAATGTGCACTAATTCTACCAAACAGTACGATAGTGGGGACTATTACGCAAAAATAAATCTTCATAAGAAGCAATTTATTTGCCAATTATTTTGATGTTTAAGTGTTCAACGGATTTCTCTGAATATGATGTTCGCTATTTTTCAGTACCTGCAATTTACGAGGTGTAGCAATGCAAATCTCCGGAAATGTCCTAGCAACTACATATACCGGGTGGTGCCTAGCGCGACGCAGCATAGGGATTTCAATGGTAATTTCTTTGTAGTCAATTACTAGCTCCCCTAATTATTTTAGAGCAAAAATCAAAATACGTTTTTTTTTTTTTCAAAACCGTAGAAATCTACAAAATAAAAAGGTTCATTTTACAATAAATCAAATATACCTTGGAACTACCTAAAAAAACAGCGATCATGTTTCATTATTTGCCTTTGACGTATATTAAATTTATAAGTACTTGTTTATAAATTAGTTAAAGAAGTGTTATAGTGCAATAACGTTCAAAATGTCCGTCAAAACCATCAGGAAAACGCGAGGGAAAACGACAATACATTCAACGTTTTGGCTGCAGTAGCGGAAAATCCGAATATAAGTTTAGGAACACATCTTCTTCAAATCAGTTTTTTTTCTTCGATTATGTAGGTACTCTGATTCCGGAAAATGATTAACAAATAGTATCTGATGCAGATGCCGTCAAAACCATCAGGAAAACGCGAGGGAAAACGACAATACATTCAACGTTTTGGCTGCAGTAGCGGAAAATCCGAATATAAGTTTAGGAACACATCTTCTTCAAATCAGTTTTTTTTCTTCGATTATGTAGGTACTCTGATTCCGGAAAATGATTAACAAATAGTATCTGATGCAGATGCAGCATATATTCTCTAAAAAAACTTTACCCTAAGATGCCTTTTATTGCGTCGGTTAGTTGAAACAGAATTAAATGTGAAAATCGTTCGACGTCAAACAACGATAACTTAATAGATGCGATGCGCTTGTAGTTTGTTAAAAGTTTCCAAAGCATCACTGATTTATAAGAATGTAATTTTTTATTTTGTCGATTTCTACGGTTTTGAAAAATGGAAAATTATAACTAAGTATG